AACGCACCTGAACTCCCCGTCCCAGACTCTTTCCTCCATCCCCAAAGGTGCAACTTGGGACAGATTTCAGCCTCAGCTAGTGGTGTTGGCACTGTTGCTCTGATTGCTCAGTCTCTCACTTTGCTAAAATTTTACCTTTTTTTTTTTTTTTAATGTTTAATGTGGAGCCTGGTGCCAAAATCCTTTAGTGTCGTGGGAAGGTGTTACCATCTCCTAACAAACTACTCGCTGCTTCCAGGGAAGGCTTATGCTGTGGGCTCCACATGATGGGGCTGGAGCAATTAGCTGAAGTTACATCATTTATAGACCTTACAGACTATCCCAAAGAAGCCACTGCCGGTTAGCGAGCCGTTGGGGAAAGTGATCAGTAAAGCATTTTTCTGTATATTTGTATGTTCTGGGGTCTGTGTAAATCCAGCTGATGTTCATACTGCCACAAATATGACTTACAGCTGAGGGTCTCTGGGGAACCCAGCCAGCGATGGGTGGAGGGAGGGAGCCAAACCTTTAGCATGTCTTTATTAAGGTGGAATGACAATGCACAGGAAATGGCCTAGCTAGGTCTTGGGTTGGGGGGGTGTCATAGGTGGAAAAATAATGCTATTGAACATGTGCGTGTGTGAATGTCCAAAATTGAACTTTCACCCTGTCAAGTGGCTGCTCGTGAGCTACAGCTGGTACTGGGCACAGACAAACACCTGCACTAAACTAAACGGGTGTATCCCAAGTACTCCCGTGAACAAGGGGTCATGAGACAGGGGCAATACTGAGGAACATGCTTGTGCCTTGTCCTTCTGCACACCGATGGTTTGGGTTGGGAGAACCTGGGCCTGGCAGCTCCAGGAGGAGGAGCTGCTGGCAAAAAGAAGGGCTTAAAAAGAAACCCAAAACCCAAACATAACCACAATGGTCTCAGAAGAAGAAGGTGAAAACCTTGGCTGAAGGAAGTGGGGGCTCTGCTTGGAGACGAATGCCAGGAGATGGCGAGGGCCCTCGGGCAATCCCACCATTGGCTTATTAATAAGCAGCTTTATGTCCCAGAAGACGACAAAACCAAAACCATTTCACACATACAGATGGGAGAACAGAATAATTTTACACACTGTCACTGGTGGAAAAGAGTCTAGGTTTTTCCATTTTTTTTAAACTTTATTTTTTTAAGAAAAGGAATAAACTCTGCATGGTAGAGTGTACGGTATATAATTTCAAAACAGAACAAGTGATATGGAATGGATTATTTTCCCAAACTATTTAAAGTTGCACCTAAAATCATTTGTAAATCAACACTCATTACCATGTAAAACAAAGGCAAACAATCAACATATTTTTCTGTTTGGTACAGATTTCCTCTACCACTTCAGCCGGAATTTTCCCAGGGTTGGGGAGAAAAGGGGGGCAAATCCTGCCCGTTGTCCTAATCATAATTGTACTGACCAAGCTTTGTGCTCTGAGATCTAGCATCATATGGCTTTATATACGTTCCTAAGTGAACAGTGCAACATCATCACCATCTTAAGTGTTTATTCCACATTCAAACTGTAACTGAACATCACTCTGAAACCCTTTCCCGCCCTCAAAACCACAACAACAATGAAAAGCAGTCCAGCAATCAGATTTCATCCCAGAAATCCGTGTAAACTGTAGATCAAGGTTGGGTAGCAGCACAGAAGACAAAAGATGTGACAGCGTGATTCAATAGCGTCTCTAAAGACTACTGTAAGACTGTCATTCTTTAGTCTGCATCTTGCAATCACAATTTGCTTTTTCCCTGCAATACTATAAAGCAACATTAAAAAAAAAAAATCAGACTCAAAAGCAAAAGGTAGAAGCCTTTACGGAAAAGTAAAGCTTCTGCTTAGCCTTGAGCGGTTGCTATTATAAACAGATCTCTGCCATCAGAAGCAAATCTTGAACGTATATACACGATTTCGGTGGGAAGGGATGCAACCAAGGATGGAAGCCCTCCTAGCAGACCCGCAGACCTTTTTGGCTTGTAGGGCAATGCTACACTGTCTTTTTGGGCTGAATAAACAGGCAGGGCAGCCACAGGCATTAGGCGCGCTCTGGGCTCTCGGCTCCTCGGTTCCTTGGCTGCGTGAGGGCCGGGAGGAGGAGAGAGCAGGAGCGCCGGTGAGGGACCCCTCTCTCTCCCATCTCTGCGGCCAGACGAGTGATGTGTGGGTTGCAGCGGCGTGGGGTGTTGCACTGGGGAGGTGAGTGCATGCTTTTCTCTTTACCCTCTCCTCCCCAATCCTGTTGGAATGTATGTAATCAGTAATTAGATAAGTATTAATAATAACTGTAAGCTAGCATAGTCACCCTCCCCCTTAAAATGGAGGGAGAGCAACAGCATGAAACAAATTCCCATTTGTCCTGACACGTGTAACCTTTCCAGATCCTATAGAGCAACCATACGCAGGCGTTTTTCAGACTAGAATTTGAAGGAGTCAAAGCTGGTAAAGAAACTGGATGTTTCCTGGCCTAACTGAAGGAAATAATAAAACTGATTAAAGTAAGAGTGAAAGAAAGTAAGCATTAGTGTGTTTACATCCTCTGGTATGTCCCACTTCTCTACGTTCTGCTCACAAGCCCTTTCCATCGTCTGAGCAAGCACTCCCAAACTTAGAGAGGTAAGGCTTCAGCTAAAATCCCACGGTTGAGATGATAGTTTTGTTGGTTTTTTTTTTTAATATAAATACCGTAAATGTAAGTATTTGACTTTACTGTATCCGTGTGGGGCATGTTGAGAGCAAGGCTTATAAGTGAACCAGCACAGGAGAAGATTGGGCAGGGGCGTAATCCCACAGGGTAACAGCAATTGGACGATGTCCGTAAGCATGGTGCTAGCTTAGTGTGTATGTAGCACTGGGGGGGCTTGGATGAAACCCTCCAGGTTTCTGGGTGTCCAGTCAGAACCAGGGAAGCTGCAAGAAATTTTACTGTAAAACTCCAGTACTGAAATGTCTAAAGGAACCGGACCTCTAACTTCAATGGGCACTGATTTTAGGTTTTACACAGTCAATTCTACTTAAAAACCAAAACCTTAACAGCTGATGCCCCTGCTATTGGAGCCTTAAGACACCTGTTACACTGCTGAGCCCTACTCTTTTTTATTTTATTTATTTAATAAAACACTGTTTTAAGATAGAGCACAATAAATGTGCTTATTACGCACTCTAACATAGAGCACAGAAATACAACACTACAGAGTGCAAGTCTAACCATCTCCACAGTGGGAAAAGTGCGAAGGTTAAAAATATGCATGTGGCTTAACACAAGATATTTTTAAAAAACATGACATGGAAATCTCATACTAATGCTTTCATCTTTATCACAAACATGACTGAAAACTTAAGGTCAGCTGCTGATCCTTCTCTCGTAGTAATAGCAGTGTAATCCTCTCAAAAGTACAACGCTGGAAAGATCAGAGAATTAAAAAAACAAGTGTCCACAAATGATCCCATTTACCACTTTTCCAGTAGTTACGTTTTTCAAGAAGTAAACACGTAAGGTCACCTTGATCTTCGCCATCGGTAACTGATACACTCGGAAACAGCTAAGCCAACCACCTGGACTGAGATCAGTTCAGTGTCGCAGGCACACACACACACGGATACACACACGAAACACCCCACAGGAAAAAGTGCACTTTCAATTGCTGATACAAAAATAGATTGGCACATTCTTTTTGACACAGTGAAGATATGCTCTTTAAAAGCTTTTTCACAACGTTAAGAAGTCCTTTCGGAAGTTGCAGCAGGTCTGTAGAAAAAGCGCTATGAGAATGCACTCACGTGGGCTTCCAGGGTTTGTGTGATGGCAAGGGGGTGGTCATGGAGGCTGCCCTTCAAATTTTTGCCTACTTTTATAGCGGTAGTCCCCACAGGTAGGGTCAGTCGCCACCCAGTTTCAGCACGTTAGCCATTTACCAACAGCTCAGTCTTCACCTGCTCTGAGAAAGTAACGATACGTAAATTTGTCAAAGCTGAGAGTCTTACGTTGACGCAGTGTTTCCTATGTGTCGCCGGAACAACTGTTTGGGGGGGGAGAGAGTGAAGTGTTAGGAGTCTGATTTTGCATTTCCAGTAGTAACTGCAGCTCAGGAGAGCCAAGCGGGAACAGCCGGGAGACCCTTCCCCGCGGGGCAGCCAGCGCTAGGAGTTCTGCACCAAGCGTCTGTAGTGCGGCATCACTTCATGCTCGGGAAGGTGGAGAGCAAACTCCAAGGCCACCAGCACCGGGAACTCGAAGGCGATCAGCTCTCGCCTGTTCAGCCGGAACTTCTCTTCCAGTTTCTGCAACGACAGCCGAGGGGGAAAAAAAAAAAAAAAAAAAAAAAGTCTTTGTGAATGAGGATTTGACTTTCTAGTGCTTTCTTACAGAGGACATTATTCAAAACACGCGTGCTGCTGTCATTAAACCTCTGGACTTGCCAGGCTCCAGGTTTAGAAAATGAGAGCAGGATGACTGGACGTACGGATTCTTTACTGTGAAGGTGAACTCTCGAAGCTCAGCCAGCCATGCTATTTCTGACACGTTTCTCATTTCACTCATTCCATCTCCAGCAGGTGTATTTTCTAACCGTCACAATGGTTACCACTGCAGGAAAAGGAAACTCCTGGCTTCATGCAAACATTGAAATCACCTGTGTAATGGCAGACATGTGCCTGGTAACTGCCCACAAACCTCCTGCACTGCTTGAAATCGCCAATTTTCCTTTTAGCATTAGACTGCCTTACAACACCCTACTGGGGAAATTATTTCTGCTACAATTAGATACATTTGATCTTAATACCTGCGAGGCAGAAGGTGTCATCTGCAACAACCACAAGAACAGTGAATAATAGAAAATACTGTCCTCAAGAGGGACGAGAGAGGTTTCATAATTGGCTTTCTGCTGTAACGTACTAAACCTCCCATCTGGTCTGCTGTTTTCATTACATTTGGATGCTACAAGTAGGCAACCAGCTGTTCAGGGATATTTCCCTACCCCATCCTCTTCTTATGATCTCCCTGGCTTGCTACTTCTCTGCCCACTGGGTCTACTGAAAGGCTCAATGTGTCTTAGGGATGGACCAGTGGCTCAGCATAGCAAGAGAGGCCAGATCTTCCAACTCCCACTGGGATGATTTTTTTTCTGGTTATTTGGAGGGCTTTCTAACAAACTGACTGTCGACCCAGCTCTCTGACTGTGGCAGAAGGGCATGAGTCCAGTCCTGCCCCCCAACCAAGTCCCCTTGTCTCTTGAACTGAGTTGGTTGTAGCCAAGTACCCAACTACCCGCCTAACTTTCTGTAGCATTAAATCAGATTGGTATCTCGGTGCTTGCAAAGGATTATGGAATAACACTCCCCTCTGTTAACTCTCTCCTAAGGAGTGGGTGGAAGACCAAACACCTTACCCTACAAAAAAACTTGTCAGTTGGGCTGACGTGTTCCAATGGTAACACTTCTTTAGGTTTTCTTGCCCAAAAGCTTAACTTGAGGAAAGAAATACACATTTGGTACTCTATTAGACTCCCTCTGAAATTAGTATCTGCATTTACCTCTCAAAGAAGAGTCCTTATTGACACTCTTGAAAAACCAAAATGCATTTCCTGAGGGTCAACTTTTGACTTGTATTGGCGGAATGGTGGTCAGATACCTCTCGGTATCTGACACCAAGGTCTTCAATCACAAACGAGCTTCCCACACCTCTGCAGTGACATTGATCACTACTACTTCCACATAAATGTATAACAAAAAAGGGTATTTAAGCTGGCTGTACAGCAGGAAACCTAGAGGAGAGCATGATCACTGGCAAGCAGGCTTGCGTAGATGACACACTGGCACTTCATGTAGAAGGAACATGGGAAACCTACGGATACGTACATCTATAAGATGCTTGACTTCATGTTTTCTGAGGTCACTGCCAATTTTGGCTGCTAAAAGAACACAGGCTCCAGCACAAAGCTTTCTATTCTGCTTGTTCAGCTTCCCCTTGAGAGCGAGCTTCTCAAAGTAGACAAAGGCCATGGCCACTGTGGGCTCTTCAAAACCACATTCTTCTTGAGCAAGCTTGCGCATTTCTCTCTTCAAGCTGAGTAAAGAAACCAGACAAGTATGCTGTGAACTGTGTTTTAAAGCATTTCTCATTTCATCCCAAGAGTCATCCTATCAGAGATTCCTGCTTAGTCAAATGGAGGGGAAAGGGAAAAGGCAATTTACTGGGCAGATACCTTTATGCTCTGTTTTGGGGACACATTTCATGGCACATTTTGACTTCACTCTTCCCCGTCACTGCCCCCAACAGATAGTTGTGTCAAACTATAAAAGTGACTGAAAAACTTTGACATTCTTAGTAACAGTATTTAATCAGAGGTCTTAAGCTGCATACAGTTTGTTTAGTAACAACATCTCCATTGCTTGTGCTCTATATGCAGCTTTGCTGCTGCTTATGGTTAGTGAAATTCAAACCAATAGTCTTTCCACATACTGCAGTATTGTTTGGTTACAGAGCAATACAACTCAGCATCCTTCTGGCCACTTCAGTAAATGAAATTATCATTACTTCAGTGAAGTAGTATGTCTAGCCTGCTACACTGGAAACAGTAATGAAATACTACAACTTTGCTGAGAACCTGGCCACTTGTTTTGCTTCTGGCCATGCTCTCTGGACAAGGCACAAAAGTCAGCATTTCTCTTTCCTCAGTCTCTTTTTAAGCTAAGTGCCACAAGCTCAGAGACTCTGTTGTGTTATTTTTCTGGATATTTTAGTATAGTGCCTGTCCAGCTCTCACCCTCATGCCATTAGATGCCGCACTTGACACCTGACCGGTGCGTGTTTGTACATTCCCCTACTTTGTCTACTCAGCCCACTAATCAAAGCAATCATCTGACTTATTCTGCACGTCTGCCTGTTACTGTTCCTGGAAGATCAATCAGTGCTTCCCCTCCTGTACAGCAGCAACTGCACTGATATGCCAGACAGCTGCATCATGTCGCAGCCTCACCAAGTTTTGCAACATACCTTCTTATTTTACTGAGGGTTAACTTGATGTGAGGGAACTTCTCCTTAAAGGTCTCATTCATGTCCTTCTTGAGATCTGATGGCTTCACGTAGTCTATGACTGTGGTCTGTAACACATGGTCAAGAGAGAATCACTCTTTTAGTTCGTAAAAAACAAGATCACTGAATTCCCAAAAGCAAGGAATACCAAACAAGTGCCAGCCAGTCCCAAAGCTTTCAGTAGAGGGGAATATTAAGTCTGAATTAAGGCAACAATTTGTGACTGCTCCATCAGAACGAGTGACCTGAAGTCTGGGATGACTGTTCAGCACAAGCCCTGAACAACACATACCTTACCAGGATCCTCCACGTATTGCCTAAGAGTGAGTTTAAGCTAAAAGCGGGTGCATAAAACCTAGCTGAGAAGCCTTGTTAACCCCCCCCCCCAAATCACAATAACTGGTTCGACGACCAGATTTTGTGTGCATATCTCCATGTGGTTCTGAGACATATTGTGAGTCTCTCTCAAACTGATTCTTCAAAGGAACCGCTGGTACAAATTCGTGATAGCCACAGCACACATTAGTGATAAAACAGGTAGTTAGCCTATATGGCAGGTCATTCAGTGGAGTGCAAGGCAGTAATGGTGTTGTAAGTTAAGCAATAAGTGGAGAAAAATATTGAGTTAGGACAACATTCAAAGTGTACAGTCTATTTCCTTTACACTGAGCTTGCTATTCCCTTTTGTCACAACCTGAAGTACTTCCCCAAGTAGCAGAAGGTGCTCCAGGCCAGTATTGCAATGCCAACGCTCCCATCTATGGGTGTGCAGCACTTCTCTCATTCTTTCCGTCTTCATTCTGGAAGCATTTTACCCAAATCCTCTGTCACCACTCACCTGGCCAGAATCTATCAGCTGAGCAACAAACCAACCTTCATTTTGGGGATGTGCCAATTCTCTTCCCGGTGTTGACTGTCCTGCCCCTCGGACAGAAGCAGAGAAGAGCCCCAGCTTGGGCAGCCAGGGGACAACCTGGACCCCAGGCACCCAGCTCCCGGCCAGCTTCAAGCACGGGCAGCAGGAGAGCAGCAGTGTGCAGTGCAGTGCATTCTCCTTCCAGCAAAATAATTTTTCCCTTCTAATTTCTGTTTATGATTAACCTACATTACGGCAAACGGACGCTAACGCTAGAACAACAGGACGTGGAACGAGGCATGCAAAACACTTGTTGCATGTTAGGCCTTTATAGAAGGTGGAGCCTCGCTGTATTATATCCTCATGGGAATCTAAATCAACCAAAAAGACTGTTTTTTTTTTCAATAATTAAAATAGTATACAGAAAGGCTTAGAGGGGAGAGAGTGTAATGGCTCTAGAGAGCAATCGGACAACTCTTGTTATCCGATCATGTTCTTGTCTGGCTCCAAAATGAGCATGAAGGGGAGTAAAACACCTAACTTTTCCTGCACTTTATTTAGGAGACATGGTACTGAAATAATGGATGATTATAGGAATTTAAAAGAAAGCAGAGCATCTGCTTCCCTTGAATAGCGCACAGCAATATTTGAGGTAAACACACCGTAATAGAGAGGAAAAAAACAACTTCTTGCCTCGGGGTGTTGTTATGGTCATATACACATTTTAAAATGTGGGCCATTCTGCTACCTGATTTGCAGTTTGAGAAGCATCATCTGTCCAGATAAACTGTTCCCCACTACATCCTGGCAAGTAATTCTGCTGGGCACGTCATGCGCAACAGTTGCCTGCCGTTTTCCGAAGTATAAATGCTTGTGAGCCCCCTCCAACAGAGTGATGTCTTAGGCACCAGTCCAGATTTTGCTCAATAAAGGGGATAATTTATTAAGGAAATTCAGTCCTATTACAGAAAGTTGCCAGTTACAAGAAATCATCAAAAAGGAGAAAGCCACATCAACCCTCATCAGCCAGCCCTGCCACCCTGTACGCATATGGACGCGCTCAAGCGCCGGTCCGGGCAGGCATTGCCGTGCCACTGAGGTTAAAAATACATACGCTGTCTTGACGCCGAGGCAGGCAACGCACTTCCACACCTGAATAAAAGGAAAAGAGGAAAAGACAGGGCGGAGAAACCTTGCCTTACGTGGGATCGGAAGGAAAGGCTTCAACTGTGTGGGTCTGCCTGGTTTTAATCTCGCTGGGCGTGGAAGGACATATGCATGCACCCATGCAGCCGTGGCTCTTCGTCACAGCCAGCTTCTTGTGTCCTTCATCTCACCGGGCAGGGCTCAGCCCTCCAAGGCAGAAGAATGAAGATCTTAACAATTAGTTCTCTCCTTTCTTTCCCTGGGACGTCGCTGCCTGCCTGCCTCCTCCGGGGTTTTGTTGCCAGAGGGTCATCAGCAAGCTGGGTGCTGCTGACACACTGGGAGTTTTATGTGTTACTACGAGGGTTCCTCTTAGTGCTGCTGTAAGAGGACGACTGAAACAAGCCACATAACATAATTTATATCGGTGTCATCTGCTAGTCAAAGTACAGAAGCATCGGTCCAATGCTGCTCTTACGGAGTCAGGAGACACTGAGCACACTAAGGTTACCCACTATTAAATCCAAAGACGATTTTAGTTACTACCAGCATTTTTTGGTTGTCTTGGACAGTCCTAGAAAGAGTGAGCTTGGTGCTACTGTGCAAAGCTACACGACACCTAATTTTGTGCTTCACTGCAAACTGCCTGCTGTTTGCTCTCCCATTACCGTGGAGCTCCTCTGGCTTTATCTTAATTATCTCCCTCCCAGTGATCATGGGTTTTTCTGGCAGACTTGCAGTTTCCTCTCTCCAGGTAATCATCTCCCCTTGCACAGAGGAGGACATGATTACGCGCGAACCTCGCCGGCACCGCAGAAACCGCTGCGCTGCAGAAAGGGCACGGCGGCGGAGGGGGGGCCCGAGCAGCCTCCGGGCTCGGCTGCACAGAACTCGTGCCCCTCAGCGAGTTTCAGTTGCTTTCACCTCTACCAAGCGGGTGCCGGCACAACCCCAGCCCGGGGGCGGCTGCGTGGAGCGGGAGGGAGTCCCACGCAGCGGCAGCAGCCCCCCAGGGTGCACCTTTCCCCGCGGCTGCTCTGCGGGCACCGTCTGTTTTACCTGGGACTCCTCCAGCCCGTGGGAGAGACTTGCCAGAATTCAGCTGAATTCTCTTTAGGAGGAGAAAAGCTCTTTTAAAAAAATTTATTTAAAGCCACTCAGAGGCTTTAGAATAAGCAGACAGCTTAAAACAGAAAATGGTAAGGAGGTAACGGCTATTTTTAAACAGAGAGATTTGTCAATTTTGTCCTGCTGATAAGAATCTCCCCCCCCAACTCCATATACTGCTGCTTCCTACAAGACAACAGTCTCCACAATATAAATCACAATAACGAAATCCAGATGAAAGCTGGTGTGTGCTGGTTTTGATTCATGTAACAGGATAACGGCAGCATGTTTGAACACACTGGCTCTAAGGCAGCTGTCTCATCTTGTCAGTGCCATGCTGGGGAGCTGAGTTAACTGCCCTTATTCCCAAGAAAAGGAATTGTGCAACTTCTTCCCCCCAAGCCCCTTGATTTTTTTTTTTTGTTTTTTCCATAGCTGCTGCAGAAGCCCGACTTTGTCTGAGCAGCGGGATGCTGTTTGCCCAGCTGGTGCCATAGAAATGTGTGCGTGTGGGACCCTGCCCACCAGCGATGCAGGCAGCAAAAAAAAAATTTTTTCTTAAAAATGTGCCTGTTGACAGGCAATTTAAAAGCAAATGCTGAATTAGTGTCTGTTGAGTGATCGAATCAGTTACCCCTCCTAACTGTTTCTGACCAGGCACCCAAGCACCCCTCTCGCTGTCACACCGTGGCTGGGGCACAGCACTTCGAGGCTACACGGAAATCCCATGTCCCCCTCCCCGCGCCTGCCCGGGGCACCTCCTGCACCCCACCAACAGCTCCGCACCGAGCAGCAAGCCCCTGCCGCCGCCCCGGCCCGCGAGGGATGGAGCAGAGGAAACTTCTGGAGCGGCCCAGCGACCCACAGGGACCAGCTGGGGTCTGACACGGGAGGGCTCTGACCTAGCGTCATCCTTCGCCGCCTTTCCTCTGCTCCGCGTTTACGCTTCTCTCCTCCATCTCAGGCCATTTCATTGCACTTGCGCTGCTTGCGAGTCCCACGTGAAGCTGCCATGTTGAGGAGAAGGCAAGACTGTAAATGGCGTGGATTTTTGTCTGTCTGGAACAATTCTGGTACTGGTGGTGTAGGAGCACCGTTCAACACCGATGCCCCAAATTTTACGAAGGGTTTGCAAGTATTTCCCTAAAAGGAGCACAGCGTTTTCTATCCAAACGTGCTTTCTTATACACAATGTTATTCCCTACCAGGCAGGCACTCTGCACTCCCACAGCTGTCAGACACAAGAGCAAGGCACTGGGAACTACCAAACTGTCTCTCCCATGCTCTAATCTCCAATGTTTGTAACTTCTGTCACCCAGAAACGTCTGTCTTGTTTCTTACAGCTTACTTGCACAAAACAGATTTCACTTCGGTATTCAGCAATACTCCTTCGTGAGCTCTGTTCACATCCTCTGTATACAAATCTGTATTTTAGTTTGGTGATGGAAGTTGCGGAAGACAAATGAAAGCTTTGATATGTGGTAGCTGACAGATGCCTGGACAACATGACGAATGCTTCGGACGAAGTCTGTACTCTGCACACTTTTTGCATGGCTGGCAGTTTTGAACTTGGAGGTTAGCTTGTGTGTTACTCACAAGCGTTTTTGAGCAGCTGCTTTCTCATAGGAAAGCTGTATATATAGTTTCATAAATAAGGGAGGAGGGAGGGAAATGGTTGGAAAGACTGGCAAGATGAAATATTGTTGAAAATAAATCCTCCTCTGGCATGCTACCAGTAAAAGATGATCTAGCCTTGGATGCCTCTATCTCCCGCTTAAGAAGGATAAAATCAGAACAAAATAGGTGTATAAAATGGAAGATGTATGATAGGCTCTCCTCAGCTGTCATTACTGTATACCCCTGATAAATTTACTTCACAGAGAGCAAACAGAAGATGGATACATTGAACAGATTTTCAGTAGGTCAATGGTAAGTTCTCAACCACATAACAAATGAAAAGACGTCCATGACCCTGCACTGCCTGGCTACCTTAATGCATACCATAGGTGACCAGCTGTGCAGCTGTAAACTGCCAGTAACCTCATGTATATACATATGGCTGAAGATGCATATATATGGGAAATACTGCTCGAGCAGAGGCTTAAAGCAGTGATGGTGGAAAATGGGAGTGAGTCCTTCTTTATAATTAAAAAAAAAACAGGAAAAAAAAAGGAAAAGGAAGACTAAAAGATGTTTTCGTTGTTAGAAAGTTATTAACATTCAAGGACAGTAAGCTGAAAGATTTAGTATTTCACAGAGCAAATAATCTCAAAACCATCTCTTTGAATTAAAGAACATGGAAGAGCACCAGTTTGTTTTATACAGTTAACACACTGGAATCGTTCACGATTAATACAGTGTGTCGTTGTTCCCAAAGAGGTGTTTATCGGTCTCAGCCAAATACAGCATGAAATGCATAGAGCACAGGGTTTAAATGTGAATATGTATCACCACTGTCATCCTCTGCTCCCTGAGACTTTAGGGTACAAGCTGATAAAAAAAGCACTCTGGAGATGCTTAATTTACAACCACGGAAGCGGCTCGAAGAACAGGGCGATGGCACCGGAGGACACCGGCTGTAGCAGAGTGTCCTGACCTTGATGCTCCTTCTGAAAGACAGAACGGGGGAGCGAGAGATCGAATGCGCTGTATCATCACACAGGGCTTTTGTTAAGACTGAACGGCCAGGGCAGCAAGCAGTTCTAATTTTAAAATGGCATTGGAGGACTAATATCTAATAACGCAGCCTGGCTGTGCTCGACAGTGGTGCAGCACCTGGCAAACGCAGGCTGACGGTCAGCCCGCTGTAAAAGCACTGCAGGCGTTTGTGACGTGCTTTTTTATTAGTGGTGTAGAGATGTCAATTTATTTAGACATAATTAAACCAATGCACTGAAATTGTAGTTAAGTACCCAAACCAATTTCCAAGCGTATCCCCTGGGCATGGATAGATGGATATTGCAGGGATGTTATTACAGAAGGGTTGCTCAAAGTCAAGACGCTACTGATGCGGGCTTTTCTTCTTTTTCTGTAAATTTTGGCAGTGCACAGCAGCCAGCTGAGGACGCTCCTGTGTTTCTGTGTCACCAACAAAAGCAGGACTGCGGGGGTCAGCCGCATGCCCGCTGCGGGGTGAGTTTTCTCCTTCTGCACAGAAGGAGCTTTTCTGCTGGCAAGAATGCAGGGAGGCTCCGACGAGTTTGGATGTACCCTGGTCAGCGCGAGACTCCAGCAAAGAAATCACTGCTCTGACTGGTAGATAAAGTTCCTATTCTAGCTAGATTTAAGAATGTGCAAGAATTCCTGTTTTAGCAGTATCAGCCAGGAAGACATCTGTTAACCGTGACATGATGTTTCCCTCCTCCCTCCTCCCCCCAGCATGAAGATTTTCTACCTCTTACTGTTTATATTGCGGTAGAGATTGTAGACTCTCCTACAAAGACAACACGAAGCAAAATAATTTCTCCAGGGTAGACCAGAATTTAAATATGACTAATAAAATTAATAGAAGCCATAGACTTTGTGTTGGGAAAGTATCGAAGCTGCTTTTTCAGAATCTTCCCCTAACAGGCTGCTTGTGGGTATTACTTTCAGAAATGCGACAGGGAGGTCTATACCCTTTCAAGCTAGAAAGTTTGCTACAAAAAAATGACCAAACCGAAAGCACATCTCCTTCCCCACAGCTATCTTCAAGGAGGAAGCTCAGCTACTCCTTGAAAATGGCTGAGGATTTGCAGTTAAAAGTCCTCTGCAAGTCGGGACTGACTCAGCCCAGTAGAGTTACAAGACTGTAAAGTCAATGTCAGTGACGATAAATTTGGGCTCCCCAAAAACGGAGGGGACTGCAGGTCAAATGCTAAGTGCACGTATTTCAGAGTAAAATCCAGGTGGGACCACACACCTTATCCGCCTTACGCCGGGGATGAAGCCCGCGGTGTTTGCTGAGGCAGCCGTCGCACAGACCGCAGGGACTCTTACCAGAGGGGCACTCCCGGCCAGCAGAGCATGAGCTGGGCTCCCGCGCGTAGCATCAGTGCACGTAGCTCGATCCCGCAGCCGGTGCCGCAGCCCGGCATCCAGCCTCGCTCATCCACACCGCCACGTGTTCACACTCCTCCCTCGCACCTTCCCCTCATTAATGGCATCCATAAGGGGCAGGGGGGGGAAATACCCACAAGCTTGCAGCTGCCAAGCATTAACGCTAAACGCTGGCCAAGTAATGAAACTTTAATTACAAGCTGCAGCTCTCCACACACAACAAAACGTTCAGTGCTGAGATCAGAGCCGCGCTCAGCTGCGCCGGCGCTTGCGAGAGGCAGTAATTACAGCTATACTCTGCTCAGGAATACAGAGAGGCCGGTTTCAATCTGTGTACAGCAGCTCTGCGGCTCCGCGGTCATTTTGGCAGAGGTCCGTCGATACTGCGAGGGCTGCGCACCGTCAGGAGAAGACCACAGATTTGGCCTCAGACTGCGATGTGCTTTAATTGTAGCATACGCTGATTTTTGTTATCGGGGAAGAAAATGACTTGAAATTACAGCCTATTATATACTCCTGTTCACACTGATGTGAACTGCAGGGAAGGGGAATGCCAGCCGAGATGGGAAAGTCTAATATGGATGCAAGTAAAGTCTCCTACCTCGCCAATACGACCCCATATTCACCAGCTCGACACACAAGCCCTCCTTACCTGCAACCCACATTGCAAAATCCTATTTAACCTGCAAGCTCCTGGGACACCCCGACACTCCCTCTCCTCCCTTCCCTCAGCTGAAGGAAGCACCAGCCCCTTGTGAAATCTCTCAGCTGAGCACTGAGGAACAACCACCCGACCTTCGGCTTCTTGCAAAGCTGTGCAGCTCCCGCGCGGCGTCCCAGCAAGCCTGCTTCAACCAGGGGCAGGTGAAATCCTTGGACAAGAGAGCTCTTGGCACGCGCCTGTGATTCCCACCAACAAAAGAAACACAGCACTTCGTGTCCTTTGGCCCTTTTTTAGATTAGTGCTTGCCTTCAGAGAGGGAGATGCCAGCCTTAAGACCAGACCCTTAAGGCAGTGCTGAAGAAGTGATGGCTAGAAGGCAAATAAAACCCCAGAAAGTCTAATAAGACATTTTTCCAGACACAGTAGTAATTAACCCCTAGAGAAAATAAAAAAGCAGGGAGAGATCTGTTACATTCTAGACAAACAATGACGATTTTAACAATTGCCCTTGAAGTCCCTTTTTCACCTTTAAAGTATCTAGTCATACCTCCATCACAGTGAAAAACCCAGTCGGCTCCTTTCTGCAATATAAGTACAAATACAGATCTCAAAACGCTGTGGCTAACTAGCATATGGGAAAGAAGGGCACCGAACACCCACTCCTGGGCGGACACCTCCCCTTGCAGGATGCTATCCTGGCTGCCCTGCTTTGACTCACCCATCCATGTCCATCTCAACACCAAGTTGAAAAGGGATCAAAGATCCCAGGTGATCCTAGAGGACTCAGATTGCCTGCTGGACGTTCGCAGCCCGAGGAAAGTTAGAAACGCAACCATGACTGCTAAAGCTATGTTCACTTTAGATGCTGGTTAGCAACATCTTTCTCCCTGAGGGAAGACAGTTCCCTGTCCATGACAATAACCACATCAAAACCTAACAAATATTTTCCTACCCAGATGTAGCTGCTATAAAAGGCTGACTTTATGGGTTGGTAGCCAAAAAATAACTTGCCACCCCTAAAAGTAAAACCATCTGAAAGTAAGAAGAGGACATACTGGACATCCCATTTGAAAATTTAGCATAAACACAGCCTCAGAGCTCAATTAAGCCTCTCTGTGCAACAGGCAGAACACTCTTACCAGCAAGGAGATAACCTTCAATTTACATGAAACACTTAAAATTTGTTTTGAAGAAGGAGCACCCAAGAGCACTATTATCAAATAAAGACCAGGGTGGGGGGTAGAAGAGAACTTACAAAGACTGTGTCTTTACATACATTAGCAGTTTCTTAAACAGTATCTTCTGTTCCAAGTTAAGTGAGGACATGGATGACACTTTAGACCTCAGTGTTTCAAATCCTATACTATTTGTATATAGATTAGTGAGTATTAACTCACTGCTTTGGAGGCGGGGGGGGGGAAATTGGCTTTTCCCTGCTGCCTACTACTACTGCTTTGGATGTGTAATTCAGCCAAATATGTGCTCACACACATACGACGGCACTGCATTGTGCAAAAGTCCTGCCAAAATAGCACACCAAAGTCTACAGACTTGGTGCAACCCAAAAAAGGCTACAGTAGCCTCACCACAGAAAACACTTGAGTTAGAGCACAGATCAAGGAACGGTTATGTGTCTGTATTGTTACAGGGTTTGGATATAGTGAAAAATATACAGGCTCTGCTCGTAATTGCTGCAATTAAAGGAAGCACCATCCCATGGTGAAATAAATACCTGGGAAACACAGGCTCTGCTAGACACCAAAGCGCTGTTCCAAAGAGTGAAAGATAAGCATCAAAACACAACGTAGCTTCATGACTTCAGAAAAACCCTACTGGGCATCCTCCTATTTTGTAAGAGATGCCAATTAGAGGAAGTATAAATTTTCCTCTGAATGTGAGAGAATGAACGCATTGTTCGAACAAGCCTTTCACCTAAAGCATTTATGAAATACAGTGGTAATAAAAGCATTTACTTTTGTAATACCTCCACGAGTTTGTTTTTACATGTCCCAGTAAGTAACTGTCATTTAGAACAAAGCATTCCAAACAGCTGTTATTAGTAGATTAAAAATAATAATGATCTTCTTAAAATATGGCCAAATGTAACCTCAACCTTCAAAATAGTGTTACCAAAATCTATCTGTGCTACACCTAATTTTGTGTATCACTTACCATATATGATGGAAATATTAAAACCCGCTTATGTTTGCCACATGGCCATTGGGGATCATCTAAAAGATTTGGGTCATATTCAACAAAGTCTCCCAGGTCGCTACCTATAAAACAATGGTAAATATAAGAAAGGAATGCATTACATCAAGAAATCTCTGGACTTAACAGAAGTAGCAAATGAGTTTACAGATAAGGCACAAGATGACCGTCACGTATGATTTTTGAAAGGGTTGAAAGATTTCTCTAAATCTTGAAAACTCTAAGTATTTCAATACTAATACAATTTGCAACAGCTTATGAATTACCTGGTAAATGTAAATTTAGGGCTTAGAGAACTGCAAAATTATATAAAGCTCCACATGGACTTTTATTCCTGGCAAGCAGTGTTCATCTGCTTATGCAGATGTTTTGATTTGTTTCATTTAACATGCCAAAATATCTTAAGCATATAGTGCTTTGGCTTATGTTTTGTGCCCAGTCTTGTAAACACAGCCCTTTCCAGCCTAATAAAGGTCACAAGTGTGATTTACACCTTCAGCTTATGACTACCGTGTTGCCACTGTAAATTTTCCACAGCAAAGGAAGGTAACGAATAGCCTGATGCAGGAGGAACAAACAACGCTGGTGACGGAGGAGGCACGCCGAGAGCCATCAGGGGCTGTCAATACGATCTGCAGCCTTGTTTACTTAACTTTCCATCATCCGTAAGCCTGCTTTGCTGAACAAACAGGGACCGAGTTGTGTCTCATGCACGACATGAGACTACATTTTGCTGAATTTAAGCAAAAAAGGTGGCTAAACCATGACATTTGTCCGTCATTCACAATAACGGCCCATCACTAGGGTATGCAAGGATATTAAAAGAAGCTTCTTGAGAAGTTACCTGCATCAATGCTCCCCTGGGTGCTGTTAGCTCTTGCCAAAGAAAGGCTACGATGGCTTGCATTGCGAAACTGGGAGAAGGATGAGGTGGAGTCTATGGTGTTTCGACGAGTTCCCAGAGCATTGGTGGGAAACAGGAACTGTGTATAAGAAACCGTCTAAAAAGAAAGTCAGAACGGACAGTTACTATCAGCCCAGCCTGGCCACAGCAGGATGTCTTTGGTGCATCCCAACTGGAAGCAAGGGAAGCCAAATTAGCAGAGGATTTTCTGGATTTAACAGTTAGGCACAGATGAATAAACATCCGTCACCTACATTTGCTTCAGTGCAGTCAGTTTATCCATGCAAAAAAAGCTTCTGCAAAGGCATTAATTCTTCAACAAAACAAAACCACAAACGCGCACACAAGCTCTAATACACTGGATTTACAAAATCCTACTCAAGGGTCAGATTTAAAAATATGTCAATTTGGTCAGTTTTGTTTCAGTGGGCCTTCTCTGTAGCGGATTTCAGTTGCTTCTTTACTGAAATAACATCATCTATACGGGTCCCTCAGCACAGAGCAGCCAGAGGCAAATCACTTGAACGTTGCTCACCTTAAGCACTTTCTCTCGTATTTTTCTCCTTTAGGATTTTGTCTGGCAGAGTCTTACTGGTGTCGTTAAATGAGCTACCACTACCAGTATACAGCAATGGTTGGGGGAGATCATTTACTACCTCCCAGCATGGACTAAGTGTGAATGAATAACTTGTGACAAAATTATTTTTAGAGCGTACTAATTCTCTGCTTCTACTCTCAGCCAGGAGTAAGCTAAGCTTTGCTTCTCGTAGGTTTATTTTCCAAAAATAACATTATATTAAAAAAAAAAAAAAAGAGTCAAGATCCTAGACTGGTTTACAAGGTCAGAACAGCTATCAAATAAAACACGTAAGCTTTCATTTATTTATAAGCAGACAGATTGTCCTCAGGAATTTACAGCCTGTGGTCTCGCCTAACACCTGGTTAGGTGAGCACACCATGTGTAGCAGCATTGACCTAGGGCCTTTAAATCCATATATGACAGCAGACTGGGTTAACGGAACTGTAAAAAGTTAAGTCAGGCTTTCAACAAAAAATGTTTTCATTTATGATTAAAATTGTTTTTCCTCTATATATTTGTTTAAAATGGATCACTTAGAAGATTCATAATTGCTTATTCTATTCAAATGAATGTACTCTTGGATTTTGAAATACTCCTCAGGTTTATACTTCTGTACTACTGTCTTCTTGCTCTTTGGAAAAATATACTGTTAAATAAAATTTATTTTATTAAATAAAATTGAAAGCAAACAGAATTACAATTTAAAACTCTCACCAGAAATTATTTTCAGGCCCATGACAATATACTGTGCAGTGATACCTCCTGCTAGAGCCAGGGGCAGGCTGCACGGTTCGGTAATGCTTTACAGACTCCGATGTTGCCAGAGGCAAATTTCTTCAAGGAGACAGAGTTGTTTACGTTGACATCTTGGGCAGTCCTCCTGAATTTCTGCTAAACTTCTTTACAGTTTGCACATATTGTGCTTTAGCTATGGTGTTACGCTGCATGTTGTAGTTTATTTTTATATTTGTGCTTGTTCTTAGTTAAGCCATTTTTTCCCTTATTACATAAAATCCAAGGGAGTAGGAACTGAAACATCCCCACCTTCCCGTCTGCTCCGAGCTCCACACCTTCAAGACCAATTATCTCCTTCAGACACACTCCGGTAGAATGGCACTGGCGTCCACCGTCCAGCTTCATATCCCTGGGGAGCAGAAACCAGAGCAGAAACAGCTCTTTAAACACACGCCTCGTTCACCTTCCACCACCCAGTGCCGAAATAAGGTAGCAGCCTCAACCCAAACATGCCAATGCAAAGCACAGACCAGACAACTTCTCCTACGGGCAGCATCTGTGTCGTCTAAATTACATTATAGTGACTAGTTACAGAAAAAACCCACTTTGTTCCAGGTTGCACCTGATGCCCCACCTGTAAAGCAAGGTTCCCCATAACTGGGTGCCTCTGACAGAACCTGGCACTGGGAGGGAACTGGGAGTCCTATAAACTTCAGGTGAGACCCAACGATCTAGCCTGAACACTTGACAGCCACGTGTCCAGCCGATGGTCGCTGCCAGAGTACATACCCACGTCCCCCTTCACCGCCGGACAGAGAGGTAACTGCCCGGGAAAGCCTCTGGGAGGGATTCCTGCTCCTCCGAGCACCGAAGAATGTCCAAAGCCCAGTGACCCTCCTTCTGGAGGCTGGCAGTAGAAACCCAGCTCTCCATCGCCTCGGGGTGGAAACTTGGGGATCTGCTTTGGGAGGACGGACCCATTTGACATCTTACACTTGGAGGTAAATGAGATGTCGGAGACAACCAGGCTGCATCCCGTGCTTTAGCCTCACGATCAAAATGTGAGCGAAGGTAAGAGAGACTCTGAGCAAATTTGTGCTCCGCAAATGCATCTCCAAGGTATTTATCCTGCAATATTTGCAGGGCTGATTTCTGCTAAGGTCCAAGTATGTGCTTAAAAGTCTGTGTGGGAGAGATGCTGACACAGCGGCATGGAGAAGCCCTGCAGGCTCTTCACCCGACCGTGGAGCTGGGCTATCTCCTACTGTGCCTCTGCACACCCCGTTTCCTCGTCTTCCCTTTCCAACCTGTCACTCATTTTATTTCTCTGAAAAATGGCATTCGGTGAGTCCCCAATAAATCATGTACCTTACTGCTGGAAAAATCCAACACGTCTTGTCAGCTGGAAAATACACTTCTTTGACAAAGGAAAAGGCTGTATCAAGTTTCTAATCCCAACAAAGTCCTCTTAGTTTCTTGACTGGGGTTCACTTAGCACAGTGTCACATTATCATTCCTGTTCCCTGGTACCGTGTTATTGAGGAGCTGGACAAGTAATTATGTAAAAATAACCCTCTGTCACAGGCATGGCATTAGCCTCTCTGCTCTTGTGCAAAAGATGCTTAAAGGAACTACTTCTCATAGAGATAAATGCCAAATGGTAACCGTTTCAGCAGGTCTTATCCAAGAGATAACACACAACTTGAGGAAGCCCCCAAACCCAAAAATGAAACAAAAAATGTGGAATACCTGAAATAATATCAGGACAGTTTAGTTTCCTTCCACTCAAAATCTTACAGACACAGAGTACGAAATAATGTTGTTACGACTCTGAAAACAAATCACGGAGAAATTTCTCCATGCCATCAAGAGACAAGGATAGATAACTCTGTAATCCATCAAACGAAAATCTGGCACCCTTTAAAGAGTCAGCACGACAGCTTTTAAAAAAAAAAGAAGAGTCTCCCTTCAGGACCCTGTGAACAACACTGCAGTTATTATCCCTCATTCTGAGTGGCAAGGGCTACTTAGGGTCTTCTGCTCCTCCACATATGCTCCGTATTTCTAGGTAGCATATGATTGCTTATGTTGTAAAACGGCATAATAAAATATTACTGTTTGAAGAGAAATCTGTCCATAAAACAGAGAATTAAATTCCCTCTCTTGAGGAAAACCAGCACTAAACAATGTGCCGTTTCTTATTAATGTATAAATGGAAAGGCTCATCCTAGCGTATGCACATCCTCCTCTCACTGGTAAAAGATCTCGGTGAACACTTAATATGAAATTCCTAGGGGACTTTACCTTATCCTTTTTTAGGTTCCCTATTACTACAACCAACAGCAAGCTAGCCAAGTTTTTGCAGGACAACTCTTCATTTTTTCCCTCTCTCCCTCCCTCCCTCCTATTACAGACAAATAAGTTCACAAAGGCCTTAGCAAGCCCAGGGGCTGCCACTCTGCTGCTAGAGGAGCCCCAGAACAGCTGCTTCCTCCCCAAACCCCCAAAACCCCGAGAGCAACTAGGAAAGACCTAGAGGACACCTCTGCTTTGTCCTCTGCAAACGGGCGAGTTGTGCCCAGGGAACAGTCAGGACGGTTGTTTGGGTACAGCCACCACACCAGCGCTGCCAAACCACCGCCACCGAGTTCTTCAGGGGACATACTCTTGCATGGCACCATGGCCAATGGGCCCCGCAAGGCAGGAGCATATAGAGGATAGGCACTTTATATTAAAAAAAAAAAAAAAAATCAAGCTTGCACTGTGTTTCAGCTATTTAGATTACCAATGGCACTGAGGAACGGCGCAAATCAATACCCAGTAGTAAAAGGTGTTTGCAGGATGCAGAGTAGGAAAGATGGTCTTTGCCAATGAGGCTTTTAAGTGAGGAAAGCTTCCTTCCTCCTTTTCCTCACTTTTGATTTTCTTGTTTTATTTTCCCAAAGTGCTTTTTAACAAAGTTTTCAAGGGATTCGAGCAGACATCAAAAAGCAAAAAATAGATCATGGGAACTTGATTTTACTACCTTCACTTTATTTGAGCAGTGAAAGTTTGAGGAAATGAGAAGATCAGTGATGACATTTCCTTAGGAAGCAAAAAACCTAGATCCCAGTTTCTGACAAAGTTTGGGGAATTACCCTATTTACATCAATGGCAAGCTCTACATATTCTATTTGTGTCTACCATTTCCAGAAAGCTGAGCAGTGTTATAAACTACACTCAAAACTAAGCATATTGGTTTAGTCATCCAGGACTGCAGAATAACATGAACGTATCTCCACCTAATAAGGGGTCACAGATTTTCTTGGAACACTATCTGGGTGACTTGGGATCCCAAATTTGTTGTGGGATGGTGAGAAATTTTACTGAGCAGGTAGATAAGAATCAACATGGGAAATCTCACTGTGTCTTTTATTAGTCAGGCCAGGATTAACAGAATATACACTGGATGCTATTACTTTTGGAAGTATAACATTTCTTTAATGAATCAAATGTTATGCTTTGACGTGATCTATAAAACCCCATGCAAGACTCCTGCTGGGCACTTGCTCTTTAAATTACAGCAACAGTTGAACACTTTAACCTGTGAATAATTCAGGAATCCATTAAATATTAAATAGATTTCTAGATACATGAAAAAGCCTTCTCATTGCAAAAAGGAATCTGATAATTGTTATTTAGAGATGCAAGCCTTTTGTGTCTATATTTTACGCTTAGTGATTCCTGAGTGTTAAGATTTATTCTAAAAGCAAAGGCGGTTCATGAGACATCAAGAAAAGATACGGCTCTTATCCATCACTGTAAGTAATTCCTACTTATCATCTCTGTTTATAGGGACAAGGACAATGACAGCTTTGGAAAAGACGCGCTGCCAGCCAGTCCGGCAGCAGATCTCCTGCTGCCTGAGACTGCCTGCTTTAATTGATCGAGAGCTTTCAGATCCTAATTGCCATTAGTGTTGCTAGAACAACTCCAGTGGCAATTTACAGCCAGAGGAGGTGGAGAAACTCCTGGAAAGATGGGCCAGTAATCCTTTTCCTCTCTCCAAATCCTTCTTCTCTCTTTCTAACGGGCCAGTATCTCTCTCTCCAAACATATTCAGGGGTCAACACATCAGCTCTTGTCCTGATGTTTTGCCCAACACAGAGTAAAAGTTCAAAACTTAAACCTATTAGCTTTTGCAGATTCATTGCTTAATTTCAATCTAGGGGAACAGGGCAGCTCACAAAAATGAGCAGTGCTGACTATAAAATCCATACATGAGATGATTAGTTTTGAAATGTCCTGTTGTGGGAAAAAGCCTACAGATTTATGTGTCTTTCTGTAAAGCTAATATGCACTTGGTTTTGGTTATTTTGTTCAATTTGGGAGAAGCAAGGAAAATGGGCAATGGTAAAGAAAAGCAGGGATATTTCAGTTTATTACCAGCTAAAAACAGATAGTTGTTATTCTTCCTCAGGCCTACGGAATGATAAATGATCAGGAAAGGCACTCGAGATTGATGACTTAATCAAAATTGCCTCACATACAAATCTACTGGGGAGGAGTATCAAGGAACTGGGTAACAAATCTGAAGGACGTAACGGATTATCCTGCTTTGCTGTGTGCATAATTATTGCTACTATCCTTACGGCAATTTAGATGCTCTCATTTCCCCTGTAAATATTCCCCGGTTTTCCACACTTACCTGACCTGCAAAGTAACTGATGGCGTAGGAGACAACCTCACCTAAATGCTTTGTTTTGCCCCATTTAAATGACCACAGATCTCAGACTTTAGATAACAAAGGCCATTGGGAATGCCCGGTCTGTGGACTCACTGATCGTTGTGGCTACATGTCATCTGGGGTGATGGTATGGGAAACCTCTTGCTCGCAGCTTCATTGAGCTCATTAGTGCCCTGGCCAGCACTTAGTTAAATTCAAAGTTAAATTCAGCAGTGATTTCTCTTTAGAAACTGGATGAAGCTGGTTTGTAGCATTTCTGAGAAGGACACAAACTCTTTTTAGCTAATGACTTGCTGCTTTAGTTCAGAAGGAGGGTCTGTTTCCTGGGCTTCAATCCATCTGAGTACTCATATTGTAGTACTTCCCGTAACTGGAGGCAAGTTCAGTCAGATAAATACCTATTTTCTTGTCAAGACAGCAATATTCAGCAGCTATGCCTACTGCAGGTACGTTTCTAACCACTTAATGAATTGACTGCCGTGAGGAATAAAAACTGAGGTGAACTGGCTGGTTTTGTAAGGACAGGCACTGGATGATGCTCTGGGTTTTCTGTCCTGTAGCTCATCACCTCCAGCCCCAGTGCTGGCCAGCCACTGCGAGCCCCGTGGCTGAGAATCGAATGTAAGACTAGCCACGTTGCAGTGCCGCATCTGTGCGACACCACCAGCTCTCCTTCATCCCCG